ATGAGAAGCCCTAGTGCCAGAAGTGGACGCACCCTCTTTTATAAATGGCATTCTTACATTGGAATGTGGGGTTTGAATTCCACCACCCTACTACCTCATGTTCACTCAAAAACCGAGAAAGAAAAAGAAAAGAAAGATGTTATTGCTCCCAATTTGGTTGTGACAAACAGGGTTCTCAGATCAAGTCTATAGGAACTCACAAATTATATCTAATATTTATATGCCAAACATTGTATTCAACTCAAAAGCTCAAGGAGTGTTTCAATTAGTAAAAATTTAAAACTCTAATTTGAGATTTTATTTGTGAACTTCGAGCATAACGAGGGGATTTTCACAAAGAAAAAGTTAATTTCTGTTGTATATGATCCATTATTATGTACCAAAAAAATGCATAAATGGGCTTTGGGCTGAGATGGGGCTATTTAACATTAGGCCTATTGGGGGAAAATGCAAGAGTGAGACTGATAGAGCCCAGTTTCATAGCCCAATCTCTTCCCTAATTCAACAGTTGGCTCCTACAAAAGCAGCATAAAATATCAGGACCATCAAATTATGAATCCAGCCAATGACAATCATTAGTCTAACTAATAACATGTTCTTAAGATTGATCGAGATTAATCTTAAGGCATATGCAAATTGATTTATACATGCCTGACCGTGAATATATATATATATATATATATAACCATTGCACCAGAATAATAAAAATGGACAAAACATATACATATTGGCATACCATGGCTTAATTTAATTAACAGTTTAGTAGTTACTGTACTTTTCTAAAAAAAATTGTCTATTATTTTTGAAAATTTTCAAATTCATCTATTATTTTTTATTTTTATTTCAGTTTAGTTTAATCTGTTAACTTTTAATAGCAGTTTTACTCTATTTAGTTAAATTGATCTTTAATTATATTTTTTTTTGTGAATTTTTACTTTTTAAAATAATTTTGAAATAAAACTAACTTGGTGAAAATGATAAATTTCTCTTCATATTCTAAGAAATTGCAATTTTTATCACATGCTATTTTAAGTTTCCCTTTTGACAATTTTTTTTTTATAATAGAAATCACAATTATTGATATATTTTAATAGTTTACACAATTTATCGTAGATTACTTTATTGGTTGGGACTTTTCTATTTTAATTTTGATTTTTTTTTTGGTTATAACTAATGAAAGTTTTATACAATAAATTAATTTGAAATATTTTACAAAATTTAGAAATCATTTAAAAAGAAAACTAACTTTTTAGATTAAAATGATATTAAATTGATAATTAATAAACTAATCACTGAATTCAGCAGGTATACTACCATGTACATTTAGGATAATATATAGGTAAATGTTAGTAGTGCCTAAACTTTGTTTCATATAAGCAGAGTTTAATCTTAATTAATGCTAGAAGCATGTTACATGTACGATTAACTACCATTGCACAAATTTCCAAATGATAGTGCTTAGCTTACTTAATGCTATCTCACCTGAATGAGACTGCAAATGCATATGGAAGGAAAAGGCAGGAAAATCTGTAATCCTAATATAACCTTGAATGGGCCTAACATGCAAGTACCCTACCAACCAAAATTCCAGCTTGGGTATCAGTGTTCAAAATATATGATAATAGCCTTTGTCTGATTGGCGTGGATATGTCCTTGCAAAGGCTCCGCTAATTAAGATTTTGAAATCCTGAATTTTAAACCTCTTTAATTAAAAAAAAAAAAAACAACATTAAATATGTTGTCATTTAACTATAAACTAAAAAATTAGTGTGGGTCTAAAATTTTTAAATTATATCATTTCAATAAACACAATTTAAAAATGATTCAAATAGTCTATTTTAATTAAAAAAAATGAGGAATATTGTAATTTAGTATTTTCTCCTAAAATTTTTTCAAACAATATAGTTTTAAATATAAAGACCACTTACTATTTAGGAGGTAGTACTAGTCATCTTAGATTCTAAGGGAATCTCATTTAATGAAGAATTTTTAAATTTAAGATGAAAATTTTAAGTTTAAATTTTAAGACAAATAAGAAAGAATTTAAGAAAAAGGAAAGTTATCCTCTAATAATTCATTCATGATCAGATCTAACAAAAAAAAAAAAAGTCACTTAAAGAAAGAAACATAAAGGAATATATTGACTATATTCGATGATTTTTATCGTGAGGGAGAATTTTTTTTTTTTTTTTTATGAATCAAAATTTTTATTTAAATGAGTACAAGGGGTACTAACCCTTGCAAGAAAAATGGGAAAACAAGGGTTGCAGTTTGTTGTCATAAGTGCCATCAACACAAAGATTTGGAAATTGGCACCAATCACTAAAACTAAATACTGCAGATTTTGACTTTCCTTTAATCCAACAAAAAGTCTTAGCTTGAACCAGATCATAAATGTTGTTTTCTTCCCAAATTAGTTTATTGAACACAATACCATTTCTAAAGTACTAGATTGTCCAGGCTATGGTGAGGATGGATAGTACCCAACAGTTCCATGATTTCTTAGCATCCATAAGTGAACAAAGCTCAGTAATTAGCAAGGAAGCATTTGAAGTAGGGATAAAATGAACCCCCCACCAGTTGCAAATTCGATTCCAGATATTTTGAGAATATTGGCAGGTGGCAAAGATGTGGTTGAGGTCCTCTATGTAGTCTCCACAAAGGACACAATTTGGTTTGGATGAAAGATTGACTCCATGAAGAATAAGGTTGTCCTTGGTAGGAAGTTGATTTAAAAAGAGGCGCCAAGCAAAGATACTAACTTTGGATGGCATGAGAGGACTCCAAATAATCTTGCAGCAACTCTTATCAAGACATGTCGGGGAGAGCTTAAGGAACATGTAGGCGTGTTTTGTAGAGTATCTCGCTAGGTTGTGTTCCCAAATAACTTGATCAACTTTATTGTATGGGATGAACACATTTTCCAGAATATTTTCCAGCACGCCAAGCTCATCTAGTTCCTTGCCAAAAGGAAGCTTGCGCCATTGAAGAGCCCATCCATCTGCATTAGCTAGCTTTAAGTCAATAACTAGCGAATCCTGGCTCCTAGTAAGATTGAATAAGTGAGGAAAATTAGTCATAAGAGAAGAGTTCCCTAGCCAGACATCCTTCCAAAATCTAATTTGTGAACCAGCACCCAGCTTTCGAATAAAACCATCAACAAAACATGCAGAAGCTCTTTCATCATCCCTGCCAATAGACAAGATATCTTTCCAAAAGGGAGACAGTCTTGAATAAATGGTATGAGAAATAGAATCAGTAAGAGCACCTTCATAGTAATTACTGACAATGATTTTCTTCCATAACTTCCCATTTCTTCATCATCATAGAATTTACACCACCATTTCCCTGAAAGGGTAGAGTTCCTAAGTGTGAGATTTGGTATACTAAGCTCGCCCTTTGATTTATCGAGGCAAACCCTACTCCAATTTACCTAAGCAATGTTATTGTAGCTATATGAACCCCCTCACAAAAATTTTTTTTGAAGTTTAACTAAATCAGCAAGGACACCTTTAGGGACCTTAAAAATTGAGAAATAAAAGAGAGGGAGAGTGGAAAGTACTAACGTGAGAAGTGTAACTCGTCCTCCGAATGACAAAAGTCTACCTTTCCAGGTTGCCAATTTTGATCGAAATTTTTCCACCACTAGATTCCAAAAGTTAATTCTATGTGGTTTACCACTAACTGGGAGCCCCAAATAAATGAAAGGCGGGTTCCCATGCTTAGAATTTAAAGTTGAAGCTACCATGCTAAGCCACCTTTCTTCAATATTAATTCCACATAAGATGCTTTTGCCAAAGTTAATCCTAAGACTAGAAACAATTTCAAATCATCTAAGAAGAAACTTGAAAGCTTTGTTGGACTTAAGTAAAGCATCTCTAACAAGAGCAGTGTCATCAGTGAATTAAAGGTGAGAAACAAATAAATCTCATTAATAGCCACACCCTCAAGAAGATTTTTCCTTTCAGATTCATCGAACAAAGCATGCAAGCCTCTAGCAGCAATTAAGAAAAGATAAGGTGAAAGAGGGTCACCTTGCCTTAACCCTCTCTACATTTTGAACTCTAGTGTAAGGCTACTATTAACAATAATAGAGATAGAAGCAGAAGGTAAGCATTCTTTCATCTAGCTTCACCCTTTCTCTCCAAAGCCCATATTGGATTGCATAGAATCTAGGTAGTTCCAATCTATTGAGTCAAAAGCTTTTTCAAAATCAGCTTTGAACAAGAGTCCCTCCTTCTTTTTCATTTTTGAATAATGTAACAATTCATTAAGAGCCAGGACACTATCCACAAGTTGTCTCCCCTCTAAACTTTTTTCAGCATGTTCGCTAAGACTTTGGCTAGAATTTTGTAAAGGCAACTGACCATGGCAATTAGCCTGTATTCTTGCAGGTTGTGGAGTTTTTCTTTTTAGGCACAAGAGTAATGTAAGATGCATTAAGGCCTCGAACCAACCTTCCATTTTGATGAAATTCCTTAATAAAATTAATAATATCACCTTCAATTGTGTTTCGATTTGACCTGATGAAATGAAAAGTGAACCCATCAGGCCCTAGAGCTTTATCACTAGCACAAGAAGAAACTGCTTCTTTGATTTCCTCAATAGTAAACTCTTCCTCAAGCATCTTTCTATCCATATCAGATAATTTATTAAACCGAAGATGCTACAACGATGGTGGTAATTAAGGCAGGGAAGAGAACTAGTTTAAGAAATGGTCCCTTGTAATCTTTTTGACTTGCGTAGGGTCATTCGTTCAGGTTCCTTGAAAGTTAATTCCATGGAGCATATTCTTTTTTCTTTTCCCATTTATAATTTTGTGAAAAAAACTAATTATTTGCATCCCTTTTTTTGACCCAAGAATCTCTCGATTTTTGCCTCCATAAACTTTCTTTTCTCCTCAAGCATTGCCGAAGATCTGCAAAGCCTTCTTTTCTTTTGAGCATATCATCCTCCATAAGGTCTTGGTTTTCACATTTAAAATCTATAGAATTGACTTTCTTTATAGCCTTTTCTAATTGTCTGTCAATGTTGTTAAACACTTCCTTATTCCATTGTTTAAGGTTCTGTCGAAGCAATTTTAACTTCTCTTTGCATTTAAAGCTCCAGAATCCCTTAACATCGAAAGAGTTTCACAACTTCGCAATCATCTGACCAAAACCAGGGTGATAAGTCCAACTATCAATTGATTTAAAGGGTCTAGGACCCCAATCAAAGTTGCTTGAGCTAAGGCTAATAGGATAACGGTCACTGATACTTCTTTTCATAGCAAGCTAAACACAATTACTCCATATATCATGGAAATTTTCAACAAGAAGGAATTTATTAAGTCTATTATGAGCCAAGCCATCACTCTTATGCCAGCTAAACTTTCTATTTGATAGTGGCATATCAACCAGGCAATTTTTTCCATAAACAGATTAAAATCATCAGATCCAGGTTGAAAAGTCATCTTACCATTTCTTTCATGCCCTCATCTAACACAATTGAAATCATCCCCAATGCAGAAAATACAATTTCGATTCTTGATTTAGCTAGAGATATCATTCCATAGCTTGGCTCAAGCAATTGCATTGCATGGTCTGTATACATTTAGGAAACCACACCTAGCTTTCTTAACACCCTATAAGCCCACAACACCAACAAACCCATCACCTTCAAATACTTCAATGTTCTCGAAGAGGTTTGAGTGCCAAATGCAGAAAAGACCACCAAATCTACCCTATGAGCTCTTTACACACCAATCAAACTTGTTTGGCCCCCAGATTATTCTAAAAAAATTCTCATCAATAGACTCAATTTTTGTTTCTTGAATCATCAGGAAATTGATGTGCTCATTGTTCGTCATCTTCCTCAACTTTCTTCTCTTGATACTGTTCCCAAGCCCTCGAATGTTAAATGAAATAACCTTCATTGTGAAATAATGGCTCTGGTAAGGGAGAATCCAGGTTTAGGACTTAAGCAACCCCTGGTCACTCTATTCAATTTCTTGAAATTTCAAAGCAAAAACCTCTTCATCGCTCACAAAGCAAAGACCCAATTGTCAACCAAACTCTAGAAATCTCCTTCTATCCAATTCATCTACATCTTTTGCATTGATTATGTTTTTCTTCTCCATGAAGTTGTCAGATGAGGAATGATTTAGAGCCTTTGCCTTTTGTGATTGCCTTTTACACCGCTTCCCCATTTTAGCTGATTTTTCCCGAATTCCTCAATGTAAGCCAGTGATGAGTTTTGGAATATTAGTATTTTGGTAGAAGTCTAGGATTTTGTGAGGGCTAGATCCTTGATTTTCTTGGATCAAAGCTTCATCAACGTTTATGTTGAGGCCTGAATGACATTGGGCTTCATTTGAATTCTCGTGGGCTTGAAATGTGCTTGTGGGGTTTGCTTGAGCATTTGATAGATTTTCTCTAGGAGTAGGTTATAAGGTTGGTTGGTATACATCATTATTTTTGCCTCCATCCTCTAACACAGCAAGCTTTCCCGATGCAACCACACCATTGCCTTGTGCAACGTTTCTCTTTGAATAAGCATATTCAATAGGTAGTGCCATTAATTCTATTAATGGCTCTCTTTCAAATTGTTGTGGTTGTTCAATTTTTTCATCGAAGGGAAGACTCCAGTTACTGGAAAGCTGGTTAGTATCATACTTTGATTACTTATTAGACTCAAATTCATCACTTTCATAAACACTTGAAGCCTTTAACCACCATGGGTTAGTTCGCCAACGATCTTCCATGATTTTCAATTAGTATAGGTGGCCTCAAACTTTGATAGAAATCTCCTTGTCAATCCGGTTTGTTTCAATTGTTGAAATTAAGATTCTAGCAGCATCTAAGCATTCTTTATTAATAGTAAATTGATCTACCAAAATGAAACTACCCATGAATTTCCAATTTTTTCAAAGCACCTTTGATTCTAGACACGTAAAGGAAGGCCTGTGACTCGAATCCAAGCAAGCCTCTCTTTTGTTACATCCAGTGGGCTCCAAGGTTTAATCTTTTTAAACCATTTGCCCCACCAATTTTCTTCTTTTGAGATAAAATGGTATACTAAACCCTTATCATCAAATTTCAATAGGATTTTGTTGCCACCCATGGGGATAGTTGTGATGAATGAAAAGCCATTTTCCCAAAGCTTTTATTGTAAGCCAGGGATAAGGTTGGGTGCATGAACCTCACTTGTTGCACAATTATAGAGCCAACTAGAATCCTCAATTTCTTGTCCCATTTTTAGGATATCTTTTGTTGTTGTACATTTATCAATGCAAATTGATTGTTGTGGTTGAGACCTTGTGTTAAGTGCTTTTGCGGGACTTGGGCCATAGAGGAGGGCTTTGGCAAAGGTTTTTGATTTAAAAGTTTCAGGGGGGGGGGGGGGGGGGAAGATGATGAGGTGAGGTTGGAGTGGGCTAGGAAGGTTTTCTCTCTGTGGCCAAAGCAAATCATGTTGAGTGATTTCTCTAGCCTTCCTTTGTCTTTGACTCTTGCGAATCTAACAAGTCCAAAGCTGTTTCCTTTCCTGTCTTTCTTTTTAGGAATAGACACATCAACTATTCTTCCAAGCCTAGCACCGTAAGTGGCAAATAAATACCAAAGTCTCTTAGGTGTCTAGGTTTGGGGGAAGTTTGTGAATAGGTAGGAGGTAGCATTCTTCAAGAGTCCTTGATCATACATTGGCAACCTAAAGGTTAGAGATCTCTCACCAGATGACTTGTTCTTGCTCCTCGCCATCGTTCCTTGCCGTCACTCCATTTTGGTACTTATATCAATTATGTGGTGTAGATTGCTAGTTTTATGTCATTACACTGTGTCATGCTTGTGAAGGACAATTAGATAACCAATGTTACATTATGTTTCTAGAAATTAATGTATTTTTATTTTGTATATTTGATAAGGGTTTGTTTAATTTAGATCCTAAGGACACAAGTTAAGAGTGTATTAAATACATATTTTTATCATAAATTTGTATTAACCAAATAAAAATCAACTTTTAATTTATTAATTGTTTAATTAAATTTATTTGATATTAAAATTAATATCAATTTTTCCATTTGTTTATGCACATTTATTATAAAAAATGCTTTTAATCTGTACTTTAAAGTTATAAGTTTAAAATATTCATTTGATAATTTAATAATCAATTTTGCAACAAGGGCTGTCCTCTTCCTATAGTCTTTCCTAAGATTTCTAATTTGAATTTCAAGTTTTTAGTCACTTAAAGTTACCTATTGGAGGAGAAGACTTATTGGAGGAAAAGTCCTAAGTGATCTGGGTAGCCACCTATTAGTTATTAAGGATATCTCACCTAGGGTGTCAGGTTTTAAATCTCACCTCTTTCGATCCCCTTTCACTAATTCCCCTATGTTCAACCAAAAAAAAAAAAGAAAAAAGTTACCTATTCGAGGATTAATTAATGTAATTATAAATGTAACTTGTTCAAAGGTTTTGGGAGGCCCACGTGCATTGATTTTCAGACATAGCAAAAATTTCAAGCATTATGCCCATGCCCATGAGGCTTTTGACTAGGAGCGGTGATTGAGAAGAAGAAAATTTGTGATTAAAATATGATAGTAATGATGTGATATAAGATATATCATTAAATAAATTGATATGTATAATATTATAAATTTTAATAAAATAAAATATATTATTAAATAATATAAAATATATTTTTTAATATTTTAAATCATATAACTTATATTATATTATTAGTTTCAAATTTCAGTCCTATAAAGTTTGGCCCCTTTATTATAATTCTTTGACTAGAATCTCCGGCTTCCAACAAAGACTTAAAAAGAGGCAGTATTGATTTATGACGGAATTTCTAACTTGTGCAGTGTGCAATTATTATATTTTTTATTATTAATTTATATAAAAAATGTAAATTAATTTAAATTTATTAATTATTTAATTAAATTATTTTATATAATATTAACATTTAAAATAAATTTTATTTTTATAATTTTTTATATAAAATAATAATAATAAATGTAATAAATACACTTTTAATTTTTATCCAATCTTTATCCAGTAATAAGGTTAGACAAAGCTTTTACGAGATTTGAAAAGTCTTGATAAGGGAAAAAAGAAAGCCAAAATCTTTTCGGCTATAGGATTGGAAAAATCCGAATTCTCTTTTTTCTTTCCCATTCATTTCGAGCTCCTCTTTTCCGTGATAATTCCAAAAACCAATCTTTTTCTTACATTATATCTTTCCACTATATCTTTTCTTTATCCAGAAGAATTAACCGAATCAAAATCCTAGCACTGACAGTTTGTTTTGTTTTGTTTTGTTTGTTTGTGTGTTTATTTATTTATTTTAAATTTAAATTTAAGTTGTCTTCAATTCAACTTACAATACGTGAAACTAATCCATTCCTTTCTTCAGTTGTTTGAAAAGTAAATCACTATAATTATTTCTTTATTAATTAACTTATAAACAATTAAACCTTCATCAACAAAATAAGGGCAAAGCCCTGTTGTTAACTATGTTACCCCTATTTGGACCAACAAATGCAGGCAAATTTGGTGCCTTCAAACTAGCAATGCCGGTAGTACATTTGCTTTATTTGTTTTTGTTTTTGTTTTTTTTTTTTTTTTTTTTTTTTTTTTTTTTGAGTTTTTTAATTTAAAAATATATGATAAAAGTATATTAATTATATTTTTATTAATTATCATAGAAAAATAAAATAAAATAAGAACGACGTCGTTACTGGCTGGTGTTCACGTATTGGGTGACAGATCACATGCCAAAGAACCGTCTGAAGAAGACACTGGCACAACTTGCTCTTAAATGGACTCGCTAATGGCAATTTCATAGATGTTTGCACTGTTGAAAAAAGAAGAAAAAAATTGCATATATGTCTGCATGGGTGAATAACAATTGGGCATTTTTTTACGTTCCAACTTTGATGTTGGAATATCAGTATTTTTCCAATAACAACCTAGGCTGAATCCAAAGTGGTGTTTTGCGAAGCAATTTTTTGCGCACTATAGGGTTGTTGGATTTGTTATTCATATACATATGAAAATTAGTTGTAATAATTGATAATCGTTATTATATATAATTGAAAATATTTAATCTATTTAATTAGAACTAACCGTTAATAATTATTTTTAAAATATTAAAAAAAACACCTCAATAAATAACAAGTGTTTTTTTATTTCTCAATAAATAGGCAGTGCCTAAGCATTAGAAATTGTGAATTAAGATTTTATGAGACATGCCTGTCACTAATTTCCCTTATGTCAAAGACCTTATAAGTTGAATTTTATCTCTAATTTCATGGATGAAGAGGAACTAAGTTTTAAACATAAAGGTTAGTGCATCATCATAAAATCAAATTTATAATAACCTCAGCACTTGGTAGCTTAAGTTGGTTGACTAAGGACCTGCCAAAGAAGATTTAAAAAGAGTGTTTTGCAAAACTTAAAAAATACTTTACTTTAAAGGTATTACTTTTTTTTTTTATAAATTTAAAATTTTATTAGCAAAAAAATTTAAAATTATCTTTTAAAGTGGATTTCAAATAAATTTTAAAAAATTCAAATGGTAACTTTTTCAAAATTTATTTAAAGCCTACTTAAAAACTAATTTTATTGCTTTCCTTTAATAAAATTTTAAGTTTGTGAGAGATAAATAAATAAATAATACTCCTTTTGATCTTTTTTTAGTTGCTCTAGTCTCTTAACTTTATGTAAATTAAATTGATGATTTTATGGAATAAATGAATAATAATTTGGAAAAAAAATTATCTAAATAAAAATATTCAACAAGAATTATGTATACAATTTTTTTCATTTTCATTTATTTGCTACTCTCTCCATTCATTTTAATAAACTTAATTTTTTTGTATAATAAAATAAATATTTAACA